TGCAGTGTATTATTTGTTGAAACTGTACTTTCGATTTGATTTGAAACTGTCTCATTGCTGTCTGTTTATCAATAAAACTTTGAAAAGAAAAAAAAAAAAAAGAATGGTAAGCCTTAGGACTGGCAAGATAGCTCAGCAGACTAAGCACCTGCTTAGACGAGCACAGGGACTGGGGTTCGAGCCAGCCACCGAGACCGGGCATGGTGGTACAACCCTGTAATCTCAGCGCTGGGGAGGCTGAAAACAGGAGGATCCCTACGAGTCTGAGCTGCGTAGTGAATGAGACCCTATATCAAATACAAAAACAATAAAGAAGAAAAAAAAAAAAAAAAAAGAACGGTAGGCCCTGTGTGGTACTGGAACAGTGCTAGCCTACAAAAGGAACTCAGACTGCTGTGTGTTTTAATACTACCAGTAGCTAAATAAAACAATACAACTCAAATTCTCTAGTATAAAATTCCTTGTAATTTTTTCTCTTTACAAAAACTTTTTCAGAAAATATTAAATACCTTTACCTTTGAAATCATGTCAAGTTGATTCATTTTTGTTTTGTGCTAACTTTATCCCAAAATATCTAATTATTTTCATGAACACTTAAGCTTATTAATTTAGGAAGCCTATCATATGCTATGCAGTGTACTCATTTTTATAAGTATTATATGATTAAATTATTTTGTTTGTTATTTTAGGGTATAAATGGTTTTGAAGTTCAGAAACAAAACTGCTGCTGGTTGCTGGTTACACACAAACCTTGTGTAAAAGAGGATGTGGTAAGTTTTTTTATATAAACTTAGAAGTAAACTTTTAAATTCACAGTTACTTTAAATATGCATGAAAAGAATAGGACATCCAAGGTGATTTATGTGCATAATTATAACGACTGAAGATTATAAAGCCTGGAAAGCTTTCATTCCAATGGCTCTTTGGGGTTGGAGGAGATAAAGGAATGAAGTATAAATATGTATGCCACCATTGCTTACTGTGGTTCAGCAAAACACATCCTTTCGGACACAGCGAAAAGTTCATGGACATCAAACATAGTGGATCCAAATTTCAAATTTTATTTGCCATTTAATAACTCCAGCCTGGAACAGATAATTGGAGGAGGAGGGGATTAGCCTTGCTGTGCATTACTGGCTTCACAGATAAAAATAAATTGGACATTCCTTGCCTGGATTGCTCTGGGAAATCTTCATATATGTGCTTGGTTATTTATTTTCCTGAAGTGATTAAATGGGTCTGTATAAGCTAATATTAACCAGGTACTTTTAATTCCTGGTGAGTTTAGAAATTCAGGCTGTCTTATTCAGATAGACAGCACAGCAGGGATATGGAATCAGGCATTGCTGGCTCAGGTACTCGTGTTCTCTTCAGAGCATGCCATCTTCCTTTGGGTATTGGTCCCTGTACTTTGTTCTGCTGCAGGTGGTTATCATAGCAACTCCAGCAAAATGACCTGCTTTGCCTGTGATATGTGTCTTCTTCCCAGAGGAGTTGGATAGAGCAAGGAGACTGAGTGAGCAGCACAGTCGTGACTGATGGCCCCACCAGACTCGGATGGTGTCTGGAGGGAAAGTGCTACTCAGGACTACTGGGCAGACCGGAACAGTAGCTATCTTGTGTAAACTATAGCTCAGACTTCATATTATATGTTTCACTAGGTGGTCACGCTGTGCCACAGGATAGACTGTAACACCTAGGGTGCTGCCAGGGTCAAATGCAGGTGATGCCGCGCAGGAAAGAGACAAGCATAGGATCAGGGTCGCTAGGAACAAACAAGGCATACACCAGGCTCAAGTGGTGTCATTTTCACTTACAGCAGGCAGTTAAAGACAACACGATCCAGCTCCTTCCCATGTGTCAGGACCGTAACACATGCCCCAAGAGCACTGGGACTGCTTGCACCCCATGTGGTACTGCAGTAGAGGACCCTGGCCCTTATTCCACAGGACATGAAGTCCAGGATGTTGAGGACATGCCCAGTGGCCATTAACTTGCTTATTGTTAGTTGATGCACGTGTAACTAAGCAATTCCAAGGAAATTTTACCTGTGCTCCCATACAAAGGGAACAAGACTTCCCTGCCTGTGTTCTGCGGTTCTTTGTGTGCAGCATGATGAGGAGTTTCCCATTGCTCCTGTATAGAAGGCAGAGCCCTCTTTGGGAACCCAGCAGAGGCGCTGGCTGTGCTTGGACACCTTCTCTCACGATATATGTGTCTTTGTATCAGTCTAAAATTTAAATAATGTCCTAATGCATTGGGATCCTGGACAGGTTTTTGAATATGAACAAAGCACTTTCAGTGTTACACAAGCTATAAGGAAAAAACAGCTAAGTTTAATGAAGTCTGAAGGTGAAAGGAACACTCAGCAAGCAGGCTCATGCCAGCAGGAAGGAACTAGCACAGTGCAGACTGTGTTAGGCTTAAGGTTTAAAATATGTGCTCTGCACAGAGCACCACCCATTTGGCTTTTGAGAACATGGTTGACAATATGATCGACAGGGTGCTGAGTCTTGTCAGCTGCATCTATGGGGCATGCCCTTTCCCATAATTCACATGTTGATATGGTCTGTGTCTATAATTGGATGCATGAGATGCGGTCCATGTGTATGAACCTTTAGCAAGCTCCAGGTGAAGAAAGGTCATTCACTGTAGGCCATGCTGGCTGTTGGGCACAAGTGTGTCTTGGTTTGAAAATTCAAGAATTTCTAGGGGTCTTTGTTATTTCTGTCTTTGCTTCTTCGTAGTGGGCTTAGACCTGAAGTCGGGGCAATGACCCTGGGGTGTTGCCCAGGTCTGGTGGATGAAGGAGAGTGTAGTCCCGTGGCTGCCAAGTATGCCATGTCTATTACTAGGACAGCTTTCATATACCACATTCAAACATCTGTCATAGAATTAGATAAAATGGTAGTTTACTTAGTGTATAGTAATAGTTGGGAGAAAAATGGTATGCAAGGTTTACTTTTAAGAAAATAAGTTTTTTATGTGTGAGAGAATGAAGAAAGTAGAGGGAAAAGTCATTACAGAAGTATGCAGTGTGCATCCGAAGCGCTCAGAAAAGCCAGTGCACAGGCTTATCCAGGAGAAGTGAGCGGTGCACCTGACCTGTCCACAGGCAGCCGCGCACATGTCTGATGTTCTCCTTGTTCATTGGTTCAGATGGCGGCTCTGAAGAAAGCCAGTGGTGATGCCGTCTTGAAATTTGAGCCCCTTGTTCTTCACGTGCAGTGTCGGCAGCTGCAGGACGCACAGCTTCTGGTAAAGGCTCTCTACTTGAACTGATAGGTCTGTGAACTGACTTCATCCTAACCTTCGCATCTGGAAAAATGTTACTTGCTTATTGAGCTAGTTTTAATTTGTTCGATAGCCCATATGATCTATTTGTTCCTTTTTCTGTTAGAAAAAAAGAGAGTGCCTGATAAACACTAGCAAAATGTAGTACCTGTTGTGCTTTGGGGTTTTTGCAAGGAAACAGTAAAGTACAGGACACATTTTGTAAGATTATTTAGTCACACAAAGAATCATATACAAAAAGAGTTCAAGAAATCTGTCCATATGCTATAAAGACCAAAGAATCCAGCTGAGGGCCTAGATCCTAACATCCTGCATGAGTCCAGCTAAAGACCTAAAGCTCATAACAGTGCCTTCCACAAACCTATCTGGAGGCCTAGAGCCCCTGACAGTGTCTCGTGCTGACCCTCTTCACGGATCTTCACTGAGAAGACCCAGAGATCAGTGGTGGAAAGCAGAAAGTGTGTGCCAGCAGGATGGACAGTCTGTGCCAGCAGGCTGAGGGACCTGCACTGGCGCCAGGAAGCAAGCCTCAAGGTAAGCACCAGAGCTCCCCAAAAAGTACCACAGCCCTCCTCAGCAACAGTGAGGTCCCAGCTCCTCCAGCAATGAGGAAAGCCGAGTTCCAATTAGGAAAGCCAGTCAGCGTGCAAGCTTCCCCAGGAGAAGTGAGCACTGCACCAGCTTCCCCTTCAGAGCCAGAAAGTGATGCTCAAGATGAGGACCAGAGCTCCCGCAGGTGAACCACAGCCATCCTGTGACAATGAGGTCCTGAGCTCCTCCTCAGACAAGACAACCAAGTTCACCAGCAAAGCCAGCATGACAAGGTCCCCCAGCAGAATAGCCCAAGAGAGCCAGCCACTTCCAACATCTTCCCTAACAGCCTCCCAGCAGTTTGCCCAGTTCTGCCTCTGATCCTGCTGGCCACTATCCTCACTCAGGTAGGCCTCCCATACCCACGCTGGTTCAGTTCAGCTGAGTGTAACAAGTTGACCACCAGTTGGCAATCCACCACAGTATCCAAATGAGGCTTTTTCATTTTTTTCCCCATTTAAGTGAGTATTAGGTAAAGATGATTAGTTATGATTCTGTTTCTTTGCCCAATTCACTTTTATATCTTTTATGTGTTTACGTAGAAAGTTAAATTATATCACCAGGATTCACTTACAAGAATGTATGGAGTCCTAGTATGTCAGGCACCAGAGGACCATGAGGAGCAAGATTAGAAACTGTCAGTGGTTCCTGTGGAGGTTAGGAGACAGCTTAGCAGTACATAAGGCAAAGGACTGCCAGATGCAAAACGCCCACAAAAGGTCAGCCTGAGGAGGTATTCTTCAGGGATGGAGAGTGGCGTAAAAGGTGGCTTTTAGTACAGCCTTCCCTGAAGAGGGCTCTTTAACATGACTTAAAAGAAACAGAGCTAAACCTGTAACTGGAAAATAAACATTCCAAGGGCTGAGAAATTATATAGTACACAGTTTCAGAAGCAAGCAGGGTGTGGCGTGCTCACAGACCAGAAGAATGAGGTATACAGGGGAGGGTGGACCAAGTGAAGAGATGGGGAGACGAGGCCATCTAAGGAGTTACAGACCAGAAAAAAAGGTCTGCATTGGTTTTGGGTGCAAAGACAAGTTAGTGAAGAGGTGGTCGCCGCAGGATGTGGCCTGATGACCTTCATTATCTGGAAACATCTGTCCTGCTCGCTGTGGACATGGCCTCAGGTCGCAGCACAGAAAAAGGTGAGACAGACAGATTCAAAGTCTGTTTTAGTGTTTGGATCAATAGGATTGTGAGGTTGCCCGGATTTTGAGATGGCCCAAGAGAGAAGGTGGAGAAGGAGCAGAAGTAAACTCCTTGGTCTGACCTGCGCACCCGGATGCCCTTTACTCAGATCGGCAGCACTGCAGGCTGGCAGGTAGGAACCAAAAGCTGGAGTCAGAAAGTGTGAAATGTTTACAAGAGGCCTGTTTAGAGGCCAGGCACTGTCTGCTAGGGCTGCCATAATAAGGTGACTTAAAAGAAATTCATTTTCTCACTGTTCTAGAGGCTGAAAGTTGAAGATTAAGATGTCTCCCTGCCTGCGGGCTTGGTGTCTGGGAAGGCCTCACACTGATTTGCAGATGGCTGCCTGCTGCCTTTCCTCTGCAGTCACAGTCCCTTCTGAGGAAGCCGGAGCCATGCCCTCAGGGCTTCCTCCAGCTTAATTACCACCAAAGGCCTTATCGCCTGGTGCAGTCACTTTCTGGCTGAGAGATTCAGCGTGGGACTTGGGTAACCCTGTGGACATAGTTCAGTCCGTTGCACACCTAAGCAAAAGTTTCAAATAGGGTTTGGCTAGAACTTGAGAGGAGAGGTTCAAATAGCACTGCAGACTTGCTGGGGAGATTCCGGGGCGCCCCACTTAGAGCCCCACCCCAGAAATGGGAACTGGGTGCAAGCAGTGCAGGGATGGCAAGCACCAAAGCTAAGCAGAGCCTGAGCAGTTGGCCGGACAATGGTATTGCTTGGTGACATGAGAAAGACTGGCTGTGAAAGAAGATTTATAAGGGGCAGAATCAGTGTCACTGCAGAAATCTGAACTCGAAGCAGGATTCCTCCACACACATGTGGCACAGGATAGAATCTCAAAAGGAGAGCTTGTGCATGGAGCAACTGTGGTACTGTTGACATCTGGGGGCTCTTAGATGTCCTTACGTATCAGAATTTAACCTTTTGGGGGCTCTTGTGCTCTGTAGTACGTTTAAATAGCATCCCTCATCTCTGCTCTACATGCTAGCCCACACACCCACCCCTATTAATCCTACCTCTAGTTGTGACCTCTTAGCAGCCTACAATGTCTCCAGGTGCTGCCAAATGTCCACTGGGGGACAAAAATCATTCTTGATTAAGAACTGTGATTAAGAAAACAGTCCCGAGAAGCTGGGGAGATAGCTCAGTGGAATAAGCGCTTGCCTGGCAAGTGCAAGGGCCTGAGTTCAATCCCCGGTTCCGAAAAAAAGAAAATAAAGAAAAGAAAAGAGTCCCACAGCTGGTCCCAAGGCGCCACTTAGAGACATGTACATGTTTAGAACTTGTACAAGGTAAAATAACTTAGACCGTACATTTCAGAATGCTTACACTTTATGTTTTTCTCCTATTATTTTAACAAACTTTAAGATTAGAAAGGACACTGAGATGATCTGTCTTTACTTGAAAAAAGCTCCCTTGCTTAAAAGAGAAATTTTGTGTGTTTTGTTTCCTTGTATCAGCGTGGTTATAGGAGTGGTTGTTTTCTGATTATCTTCTGCTTTATGGAAACTGACCCTAGCCAGATGCCTCTGTATCTTATGGAATTCTATTTTTTTGGTGGAACCAGGGATTGAACTCAGACACTTGTGATTGCCAGGCAAGCGCTTATTCTACTGAGCCATCTCCCCGGCCCCTGGAATTCTGATTTTATTCTTTTCCAGTGGCACCTCCAAGCTTTGTTTTCTGTTCTCTTAATAGGAATTCTAATAGGACTTTTCAGCATGTCTGTAGCCAAAAGACCTCAGGTTTGGGGCTTGTGTATGTTTCTGCCACTTGTGGAACTGAACAGATGACCTTAAGTATCAGGATTTAACAAGTGTTGTTTTCTTACAGCATGCGGTGGCAGTTGATTCTGGTTTCAGGAACTCCGGCATCACAGTGGGAAAGAAAGGAAAGACCATATTGGTAAGATAACTTTTGGCAAAAAGCAACTCTAGAGTGTAAAATGATCCAGGTCATGAATAGCCTAACTGGGCTCCCGCCTTCGTCCTCTCCTCTGTCCAGTTTTCTTTTCCAGAGACCTGCAGTGGCATGTTCTGTCTACAGGCAGCGTCCAGGGCTTCCACTAAAGATTGAGTTCCTTTGTGTGATGCCATCCACTGTTTACTTTTAACCAGATTCTTGACTCTGCCCGCCACAGCCTGAGTAGTCGAGGCCCCATAGGATGCAGTGACGAGGAGCGAGAGCTATGGAGGAGCAGAGTGCAGCGTGCCAAGTCCGCCACCCTGCAGCTGGGCTGTGCGCACTTGTGCGAACTCCTCTG